CTTCCTTCCTTCCTTCCTTCCTTCCTTCCTTCCTTCCTTTTGTGTGTATGTATGAAACTGTTTAGATCTTAAGTTAAAATATTTTTGCTGGGTGGTGGTGGCATTCATTATTAATCCCAGCACTTGGGAGGCTGAGGCAGGCGGATCTGGGCTAGCCTGTTCTACAGAGTGAATTCTAGGACAGCCAGGAATGCACAGAGAAACCCTGTCTTGAAAAACCATAAGTAAATAAATAAATAAATATAATGGAAAACTTTCTTGTGTCAGTTGATGCTAAACTGTGGAGTTCCTATCTACAAAATTTTCTTACTTTTCTATTACCATTTAAACTTTCATAGGTTCTGTAGTGATAACCCTCTGATTTGTTTTCTTTTTCCTTCCATCACTCGTCTGTCTTCTGTAAATTTGTTTTGGTTTGTATTATTTTGAGACAGGCTTTCATTTTGTAACCCAGGCTGACTTCCAATTGTGATCCTCCTCGCTTAACCTCCTGATTCATCTTTTTTTAAGGCTTTATTAACTTTAAAAAAATCTTTGTAATGAGCCAGACGTGGTGGTGCGTGCCTATAATTCTAGCACTCAAGAGGTGGCAAGAGAATCAGGAGTTTAAGACCAGCCTTGGGTGCATGAGATCCTGCCTTAAATGACCACAAGTAAACAAACAGAACTCACTGAACAGATCTGGGGCAGTATCTTATATGGGAAAGCTCTTGCCTTGTGAGCTGAAGGCTTGGGTTTGATTTCTGAGTGCCCATGTAACATGGAAAATACATGGCAGTGCATGCCTGTAGCCCCAAAACTCAAGAGGTAGACAGGAAGAATTCAAGGTTATCTTTTAGTTGAATAGTGAGCATGAGGCCACAATGGTGTACATTGGTCCTTGTCTTAAATATATATATATATATATATATATATATATATATATATATATATATATATATATATAATATACACTGTGTATAGATATATCAGGAACCATATATAAATGAGATAAACTTGGGTTTAAATTTTTGCTTAGTTGTTTCTGTATAGACTCCCTTCTATTACACTTAAAAACACTTTGGAATAATAATAATGCAAGAGGTTTGACCTTAGGAGTATTTTAGATTCGATAAAATAGTGTTAGCTTAATTGACTATATATTTAACTGTTTGGTGTGATAGTCAAAATTTTTTGTTTGTTTGTTTTTGTTTTTTCTGACTTTTCAAGACAGGATTTCTCTATGTAGCCCTGGCTATCCTGGAACGAACTCTGTAGTCCAGGCTGACCTGTATGTAACTTAGAGATTTGCCTGCCTCTGCCTCCTGAGTGTTGGGATTAAAGTCATGCATCACCATTGCCTGGCTTAGTCAGCTATTTTTTTTTTTTTTTTATTAAAAATCCATTTATCGTGTGTGTATCTGTGTTTGTGCGTGTGTGTGTGTGTGTGTGTGTGTGTGTGTGTGTGTGTGTGTCTGTGTATCTGTATCGGCCCACTCATACTCACTAGTATATGCAAGTAATAAGGTCACTCAGTGGGAATTGGTTCTCTCCTTCCCTTTTCTATCAGTTCTGGATGTTGAACTGAAACTGTCCAGCTTGGCCCATGACGACTATCTGTGTGCTGTAAATCTAGCTTTTATTGTTCATTTCTGCTGTTGATGATAAAGATAAGATCAGGAGAATCTGTGTGAATCTTTCATTCTCATTATAAAAAAGTTTATAAATTATGTTTATTGGAGAGAGAGAGAGAGAGTGTGTGCGCGCGCGCGCGTGCGTGCGCGCGTGTGCGTGCGCGCATGCGTGTGCGTGCATCATGTGTACGGTACCCAAGGAGGCGAGAAGAGGGCATTAATTCTTTGAATTGGAGTTACAGCCTCCATGTGGCTACTAGATAATGAACCCAAGTCCTTGTAA